GAGGTAAGCAGATAATTAACCAATATCCTATAAATACTGACTATTTCAACCAATAATGAAGTTCAGTTCCCTTGGGCTCATTCAGAATAACCTTTCAAGACATACTTCCTATTATTTAAATGGAATTCAAATGATCATACATCTTTTTTCCCAAATTATGCACAAAAATACATGTATGCAGTTAAGTGTGAACAAAGCTGTTTATTTCCTTTTTTGGTTTTTGGCACCTTTCACATAGATAAGATTTTTTTTATTGCTTTTGAACTGTGAATTATTTGCTTTCAGCTGTGGTGGTGTTTTTGTATTTATAGAAATTACTGATAAACCAGAGGCTGTATACTTTATTGTAGCTTCAGTGCTGATTAATAGTAAAATCTGTTTCAGACCATTAGCATGAAATCTTTTATTTTATTAAACCAATGTTTTCTCTTGTTATAGTGGCAACAGTAGTTCATATGTTAAGAATGTTTTGTTCTCCTTTTTCAGATAGGGAACACAGCTAAATATGTGGGTTGTATACGTGAGAATATGCTGATGTTACACAGCCCCCACCCATTTTTTCCCTTGGCATCTTGGTTTTTAGGCCTGTTGCTGTGGTTATTTGGGGCAGTGATTCTGAAAATTGCACTGGATAGACTGCATCAGCTCTAGTTTCCTTAATGTGGTTACCATGATTTCTTATGGGCAAGCTGATGAAGACCGGTAGATGGCATAAGTTCTGTATCTCAAAAACTCATACTAATAAGCAGAAACTGGTGCCATTTTTGGAATCAACAGGTCAAAGATACCCAGAAAGAGGTCTAACATTTGAGGCAGCAAAATGTGTGTTGACCAGTATCATATAAGACTGTATTTGAGAAGTCTGTAACAGTAGTATTTGTGCAACATGTTTATTTGTGTTTTCTTATGAAATTGACTTAGGCAAATCTAAAAAGTGGGGATGCGAAACCAGATCACCACACATCATTCTTGTGCAGCTATAAAGGTTGTGAGGGAAAAGAGCTTGTTCCTGTATTATGCTCCTACTGTGAGAAACATTTTTGTTTAAGGTGAGCAAAGGAGTAAATTTTACCAACCTTACCCCTATACTTTTCTTGAACCTACAGTGGAAACAGAAATGGTTTATCCATGACTTTTGCCAGAAGTGGCCCTAGAGTTATCTTAGAGGATGTAAACATTGGCTAGGACCTTCAATACAACTCCCTGATAACTTCTGGTAGAAGCATTCCACAGAATCACCCAGAGAACCGAAAAATTATTAGACAGGAAATATATTTTCAGGTGAGGTTAGGTGAAAGTCAGGACACCAGACTCATAGGTACAGTGGTCATATTGTATTCTTATAACAATTTCCTCATCTATTATTTTCAGGCACCGTCATCAATCAGACCATGAGTGTGAGAAACTGGAAACCTCTAAACCTCGTATGGCTGCTACCCAACAGCTTATTAAAGATATTGTTGGTAAGCAGGATGATTTTCAATAGGGTTTTCTAAAATAGAACTTTTAGGATTAGACACTAGAACAGTGGTTATTGACCTGTGAGTCGTTTGATGTGTTGGCCTTCAACTCCCAGAAATCCTAATAGCTAGAAAAATTAGCTGCGATTCCTGGGAGTTGTAAAACGCCTGGGGACCCACAGGATGAGAACCACTGACATAATACAAGATCAAGAATGTTAATATTGATGCTTTGAAATTGTTTCATATTTCATTATTTCACGGGCCACATCCTGTTTATGAACTGCTGTTCTGCTCATACATAAAAGCTGAGGGAGGCATCACTTTTTTTCCAGTAAACCAGTTTCTAAGCATCCCAAGAGATGCTCACTGCAGCATATTCTTCATAGACCAGAACATCCTATTAAAATTAGTATTATATATCTATCTTAAGATTCCAAGAAAGAAGTCAAAGTGAATAAAAGATGCAGAGGAGCCAAGAGCAGTGAAACAGCAGCCAAGGTAGCCCTAATGAAACTGAAAATGCATGCATGCGGAGATAAATCTGTGCCACAGGTAAGTCATTGCATATGTTTCTGGGTTTTTAAATTTTTATTTAGACAAAAGTGATATCAGTAGTGAGTTTTAGAACTTTTTAAAAAACATACCTAAGATTGGATATAACATCATATAAATGGCTTTTTTTCTTATTGCAGACAGAAAGAATTTATTTCCAAGTATTTTTACCTAAAGGAAGTAAGGAGAAAAGCAAGCCCATGTTCTTTTGTAACAACTGGAGCATTGGCAGAGTAATAGATTTTGCAGCTTCCATAGCAAACCTTAAAAATGATAACAACAAAACTACAGCTAAGGTAAACTAACCAAAATAAGCATGCTTGTGTTTTGTATTTGATTTTAAAATAGCATGGAAGGTTTTGTTTGTTTTTTTACATTTTCTTTTTCTAATTTTCAGAAATTAAGACTTTGTCATCCATCATCTGGAGAAGCCTTGCCTCTAGATCACATCCTAGCATCCTATATAAACCGCGAAGAATCCACATTGTATAATGGTGGAAACGTGATCTTGGAATACCTTGATAATGAAGTTCAGTTGTTGGAAGATGCAAACTCGTATTTAGGATAACTATAACTGTCCATATTATATATTACATTTAACACAGATCAAAAACTGTATTTATAGTTCATATAAACATGTGCATTTCTTGGAGTGGTTTCCTAGCTGTGTGTGTTTTTGTTGATATGGATCTGATCTGTTAGGAAACAGAGAATATGCCAGTGCATAAAAATAACAGTTATTCAGAAGTGTTTTTCAGTGCCCAAAAATATATCTACAGTACTCTTCCATAAAACAACTTGGGTTTTTATTATTATTATTATTATTATTATGCACTCAAGAGACAAAATAGACTGTGGTACAAATAACATATTTGGTTTACTCACAATCTTCAGCATGCACAGGTACACAACTTATCAGTTAGTTGGTTATAGAATGCCACAGACAGTTTCTGTGACATCTGGTCAGAACACCTCTCTCACAATAAACAGCACAAAGTATTTGCAAATCTGCGATCTGAGCAATCCCAAAGTCTAAAGAAGTCTGTGCCTGTCCCATAGCGAACCTTGTGGTCTGCAACCCCTCCCACAACTTCTCAGGAAAACAGAGCAAAAAAATAAAGCTGCATACCAGAATATGCATACAATAAGGATTATAAATAAATTACTAGAGAAAGCTTGACGAAAGTTGTAATTTCCAACACATATGGTCTTTTTCTAGAGAGAGAAAGTGAGCTATAATAGTAATAACAACAACAACAATAGGCAAACATTCCCATGTGTTTAATGCAGCACAGAGGGGATTAAAAGATTATTCCTCTGTACATTTAACAGCAGGTGTCTCTCACACAATGTGTTAACTATCTCCATAAAGAAAATTTAATTCGAAATGACAATTCTAAGCTCTCTCTGTATTTCTAGAGACAGACCAGGGCATCCCACATTCATTTACCTTCCAGTGAGCAACAAAAGGGAAAATCTAAGAGACAGTGCGTGCATGCAGTAGTTACCTATACTGTATTGTTTTCCAAAAATATTTCTAAATAATAAACATAGAAATAAAGCATGAATTAAATGCATGTATGCATTAGGTTTTAAAAGATCCCTCTGAATGCATCTTATCTTAACACTTATTCAAAGAAATACTCTGAAGTCAAGAAGTTGATGCATGGCAACCATGTGGGTCCAGGAGAATTGTGAGAACCAGTGTGGTGCAGTAGTTTGAAAGTTAGAATAGAAGTGGATCTACGCTGTAATTAACGCAGTTCGACATCATTTCAACTGCCAAGAAAGACAAAGACCTTGTAAATACAGAACTACTTTCCGACTTAAGGCGAACCTATCTTGGAAAGGTTTCCACAGAAGATTTTTGCCATTGGGTAGCGATGAGTTTTCTGGGCTGTATGGCCATGTCTCAGAAACATTCTCTCCTGACTTTTCACCCACATCTATGGCAAGCATGCTCAGAGGCTGTGAAGTCTGTTAGAAACTTGGGGCTCTTCCACGCAGCCCTATATCCCAAAATATCAAGGCAGAAAACCCCACATTATCTGAGTGTGGACACAAACAATCCATTTCAAAGCAGATCTTGTGGGATTTTCTGCCTAGATATTCTGGGATATACTTACTTAGGCGATCTGAGAATGATGGTCTTCCAAGATCGGTGTCCTGGTGGTGGGTCCGTAGGTGACTGTGGAGCCCTATTCTTGATCTGCATCTTCTCTCGCAGTGAGGGCATCGGTTTCCAGGCTGAAGGGAGTCCCGATCGGGGTTGGCTTGACATGCCTTCCTCTTGGCACGTTTCTCTCTTTTGCCCTCCATTCGTGCCTCTTCAAATTCTACAGCACTGCTGGTCACAGCTGACCTCTGGGATATAGGGCTGAGTGGAAGAGTCCTAGGTAAGTGGGGTTTATGTATCTGTGGAATGTTCAGAGTGGGAGAAAAAACTCTTGTCTGCTTGTGGCAGGTGTGAATGTTGCAATTGGCCACCTTGATTAATAACCTTACCAATTCAAAGACTGGCTGCTTCCTGCCTGGAAGAATCCTTTGTTAGGAGGTGTTAGCTGGACTTGATTGTTTCACGTCTGGAATTCCCCTGTTGTTTTTTTTTAGTTTTGCTCTTTATTTATTGTCCAGATTTTAGAGTTTTTTAAATACTGTTCATTTTTGTCATTGCCCTCCTCTGAGGCTCCGAGAGTGTGGCTGCCCAAGTTCACCCAATGAGTTTCATTGTTTACTTCCGCCACAAACGCCCACGTTGTTTTCTTCCACCGCTCCCGCTGACGTCACAAAGTCCCCTCCAAAAACACAACAACTAGCGAAACCCGCTCGCCTTTCCCAGCGCCCCCTAGAGGCGTTCTCTGCGTAAAATGTGGCCCCGCCCATGAGGCCAGCACAACGCGCAGGAACCAATAGGATGCCGAGGCACGTATAGCATGACAGCTTTCGGTGCTTTCATTACCTCTCCTTCTGCGCATGTGCGTTCGATAAGGGAACGAGAATTTTGCAACACTGGAGGGCAGCTTTGAAAGGCGAACTCGCGCCTGCGCAGTGAGTGACGTTGATGTCACGTCCCAGTCTGGAGTGCCGGTTTTGCCAGCAGAGGCGATTCCTTTAGTGACTTGCCTTCCTAACGGTAAGCCGGGTTTTTCTTCCTTCCCTTTACAGCATTCTTGTTGGACATCTTTATATCATTTCCCAACTTTTTCAGACGTCGTTCCTCTGAGCACCTAAATCAGGAGGCACTCTGCACATGCCCTGGAGCTTCTTGCTCTCATTAGACCTGCATTTAGTGGCACTTCGCTTGGGATAACCTTATATGAAAATGATCAGAGTAGAGAAGTGGCACCAGACTTTTATTCTCTACTTAAGGGTGCATCTACACCATAGAATTAATGCAGTTTGACTCCACTTTGGATCCCATGGCTCAGTGCTATGGAATCATGGGAATTATAGGGTTGTTGTAGGTTTTTTTCGGGCTATATGGCCATGTTCTAGAGGCATTCTCTCCTGACGTTTCGCCTGCATCTTTGGCAAGCATCCTCAGAGGTAGTGAGGTTTGTTGGAACTAGGAAAAAGGGTTTATATATCTGTGGAGTAACCAGGGTGGGACAAAGGACTCTTGTCTGCTGGAGCTAGGTGTGAATGTCTCAACTGACCACCTTGATTAGCATTTGATAGCCTGGCAGTGCCTGGAGCAATCTTTTGTTGAGAGGTGATTAGCTGTCCCTGATTGTTTCCCCTCTGTTGTTTTGCTGTTTTAATTTTTGAGTTTTTTAATACTGGTAGCCAGATTTTGTTCATCTTCATGGTTTCCTCCTTTCTGTTGAGATTGTCCCCATGCTTGTGGATTTCAATGGCTTCTCTGTGTAGTCTGACATGGTGGTTGTTGGAGTGGTCCAGCATTTCTGTGTTCTCAAATAAAATGCTGTGCCCAGGTTGGTTCATCAGGTGCTCTGCTATGGCTGATTTCTCTGGCCTTTCATGTCCCTTGATTCGTGTTTGGGCGCTGCTGCGTTTGGTGGTCCCTATGTAGACTTGTCCACAGCTGCATGGTACATGGTAGACTCCTGCAGAAGTGAGAGCATCCCTCTTGTCCTTCGCTGAACATAGCAATTGTTGGAGTTTCTTGGTGGGTCTGTAGATAGTTTGTATGTTGTGTTTCCTCATCAGCTTCCTTATAGTCAGCTTCCCTGGGAATTATAGTTTACTGAGGGACCAACACTCTTCGGCAGAGAAGGCCAAAGACCTTGTAGAACAACACCTCCCATGATTCCACAGCACTGAGCCATGGCAGCTGAAGTGGTGTCAAACTGCATTAACTCTACAGCAGATATGAGCAAACTTGGGCCCTCCAGGTGTTTTGGACTTCAACTCCCACAATTCCTAACAGCCAGTAGACTGTTAGGGATTGTGGGTGTTGAAGTCCAAAACAACTAGAGGGCCCAATTTTGCCCATGCCTACTCTACAGTGTAGAGATGCACCCTCTGATTGAAAGCAAAGGTAAAAGGTAAATGAACTGGGATGGGATGTTGACACCATTCTTTCTCATAAAGCAAAGTAATAGAGTTTACTTCGTGCTTAAATGCCTTAAAGGCACCAGATCCTGTCTTGATCTTGGAAGCTGAGCCAGCCATGTTTATTACTTGGATGGGAAATTGCCAACTAACATCCCATGCTATGGGCAATATTTCAGAGGAAGGAACTGGCAGAACCGTCTCTGACTATTATCTGATATTTGTCTTTACTGTTCGAATGTAGCACAAATCTATATAAATAAAAATGTAATGTTCATTTGTGGGATTAACAGAACTCAAAAACCACTGGACGAATTGACACCAAATTTCGACACAAGACACCTAACAACCCAATGTATGTCCTTCACTCAAAAAATGATTTTCCCATTTGGGAGTTGTAGTTGCTGGGATTTATAGTTCACCTACAATCACAGAGCATTCTGAACCCCACCAACGATAGAATTGGGCCAAACCTCCCACACAGAACCCCCATGTTGGCCACAGCAACGCGTGGCAGGGAACGACTAGTCCTATGTAAGATCATTATGTATTTTTGACATTAATATTGAAATATGAAATATATACAGAAAGTCTTTACTCATAAGGTTGCCATAATGCAACTGGTGACTTTGAGGCTTAAACTCAAAGAGAAAGAAGCAGCTTACAAACTATGGCAAAAATTCAATGCCCCATCATACCCACAACAATAAACCTTCCATATCAAATTATAAAACAGTTAAAACATATCAACAGCTAAAACATAAATTCAGTGGTAAAGGTAAAGATTTCCCCTGACATTAAGTCTACTTGTGTCCCTTCATTTGCAGTGCCCACAATTGGACACAGTGTGATTCCAGGTGTGGTCTGACCTGGAATAGAGGGGTAGCATGACTACGTTTTGACAAGCAGGAATGTGTCCAGAGGAGGGTGACTAAAATGATAAAGAGTATGGAGAACAAGCCCTATGAGGAGTGGCTTAAAGAGTCGGGCATGTTTAGCCTGAAGAAGAGAAGGCTGAGAGGAGACATGATAGCCATGTATAAATATGTGAGAGGAAGTCATAGGGAGGAGGAGAAAGCATGTTTTCTGCTGCCTTGGAAACTAAGACGCAGAACAATGGCTTCAAACCACAGGAAAGGAGATTCCACCTGAAAATTAGGAAGAATTTCCTGACTGTGAGAGCTGTTCAGCAGTGGAACTCTTTCCCCCGGAGTGTGGTGGAGTCTCCTTCTTTGGAGGCTTTTAAACAGGCTGGATGGCCGTCTCTCGGGGGTGCTTTGAATACGATTTTCCTGCTTCTTGGCAGAATGGGATTGGACTGGATGGCCCATGAGGTCTCATCCAACTCAAGGATTGTATGTGACATCTAACAACTTTATATTACCAACGAAATCTCATCTATATTATGAAAACGTATGGACTTCTCATTTGATTTTCTAGTCTTTGCCATCTTCCCCACACAATAAATTGATCTCTTTTTTTTGGGGGGGGGGGGGGAAGCAATGAAATAGGAACAATCTGCTAATGAAATAGATAAGTAAAGTAATTTAATACTACTATATGATTTGAAAATAACAAGTTTCAGTATTACAAATCCTATCTGCATGATTAATTGCATTTTTGTAAGTTAAACCCTGAAAAGCCCACTAGTCATATTTATTCATAGGTATAAAGAAAGTTTTGTTTTCAGGTCAGTTTACTCTTCTTTCTAAATCAGTATTTTCAAATTTGATTTGTTTCTCCCAATGTGATTTGCTATCTGATACTCTGAACATTGCACCTTCCACATGCAAGACGTGTGCTGTGCCATCGACCTGTGGCCTTTACCAATGTATAATTTGATTATTTTAGTAACGCTTGTATCCTTGGTGATATTTATTTGCTTCTGTAGAGTTAAATGACTGTTATGAGTGCTCTTTGGCAATTCCAAATCGAAACAGCTGTTTTGTTGAACTAATAATAAAAGGGACAAACTGAGAATTTTCATTAGAATTGAGGTATATTTTCATTGTAGATTTAATGTAGCTTGACACCCCTGTAACTGCCATGGCTCAATGCTATAGAATCCTGGGCTTTGTGGTTTGATTGGCCACTGGCTCTCTGGCAAAGAAGATGAAAGATCTTGTGAAACTACAGTTCCTGTGATTCAATGGCATTGAGCCATAGCAGTTAAAGTGGTGTCAAACTGAATTATTTTCACAGTATAGCAGCTAAGGTAAAGGTAAAGGTTTCCACTTGACATTAAGTCGAGTTGAGTCTGACTCCGGGGATGGTACTCATCTCCATTGCTAAGCCAAAGAGCCGGCGTTGTCTGTAGACGCCTCCTAAGCCATGTAGGCAGCATGACTGCATGGAGTGCTATTACCTTCCCACCAGAGTGGTACCTATTGATCTACTCACATTTGCATGTTAAGGAGCCCCCAGAGGCGCAGTGAGTTAAATCCTTGTGCCAGCAGGACTGAAGACCAACAGGTCTGAGGTTCGAATCCGGGAAAAGCTCCCTTGTCAGCTCCAGCTCCCCATGCGGGGGCATGAGAGAAACCTCCCACAAGGATGGTAAAACATCTGGGCATACCCTAGGCCACGACCTCGCAGATGGCCAATTCTCTCACACCAGAAGCAACTTGCAGTTTCTCAAGTCACTCCTGACACACACAAAAATTGCATGTTTTCAAACTTCTAGGTTGGCAGAAGCTGGGGCTAACGACGGGAGCTCATCTCGCTCCCTGGGTTGGCATCTCTGACCTTTCGGTCAGCATGTTCCGCAGATCAGTGTAGCAGCCACACTGTGAAATTAATTCAGTTTGACACCACATCTAGTGGATGCAGGATCTCGGCTATTGTGTATGACACTCAGAGATGTTTAGAGACAGCAAAATGTCGGTGCAAGCATGTCCTTTTGTGTGCATGTGTAAATCTCCTCTTGCTTTGCACTCATGTCCTTAAAGTTGATATCCCCCATTTTCCCCATTTCTATAATATACACTGCTCTTACTTCGGTAATCATACCCTCTACCAAACCAGTTCTAGGAGGCATCAGCCATCAATGTATGCCTATCTGTAATAATTCAGAATTGAAAGTTTGACTTTCAGTTCTGAGCCTGAACTTGAACAACAAGCAAATTCACATTATTAGCTTAGTAACTGACAAATAATCAGATTTATCAATTTCAATAATCACTGGTTATTTCATCAAAATTACAACAAGCATGATAGGAATTGATTTGTGCATACCTTACCATTAAAAGCACATGCTTTCAAGACGGATACAATCATATTGACCAATGCCTTAGCAGTATCTCCAATTTACATGTTGGGAATACAAGAATGCTTACTAGATTGCATGTAAAGCAATTTAGCACCACTTTAACCTCCATGGCTTTATTCTCCAAGTTGGGGAGACGTTGTCTTCTATAAATTCCTAAATAAATAAAGAAGACTCCAAAATTATCTCCCCAAATAATTAAATGTTGGAGTCTGTTCTGTCATTCCTTGACTCTTCACCTTTGATTCACCTTGTTACAGCTGAAAATTTCAGTAAAAAATGAGTGAGGGAAGAAAAGAAAAGTTGACCGCAAGTGCCGAGTGTTTAATAAGGAGTGGACAACTAAATATTTTTTCACCAAAGTCAGATCAATGCCTGTATGTCTTATTTGCCAAGAAACCATTGCGGTTTTCAAATAATACAATGTTAGTTGGCACTTTTCCATGAAGCATGCTAACTATGCTAGCAGTAAATCAACGCAAGAAAGGGCAGTTATTGCTGAGAGGTTGTTAGCCAATTTGCAGATTCAGCAAAATGTTTTTCACCGACAAACGGCTATTCAAAAGGAAAGTAATATGCTGGCATGCAAATTAGCAAAGGCTAGCAAACCTTTCTCTGAAGGAGTTTTTTGAAAGAATGCATGGTAAAAACATCAGGTTTCTTGTGTCCAGAGAGCAAAAACCAAATTTGAAAAACTGAGTTCATCCTGCATGACAGTGACTTGCTGTATAGAACTAATTGATGGGATACCATATATACTCGAGTATAAGCCAACCAAATATAAGCCAAGGCACCTAATTTTACCACATAAAACTGGGAAAATGGATTGACCCAAGTATAAACTGAGAGTAGGAAATGCAGCAGCTACTGGTAAATTTCAAAACAAAAATAGATACCTATAAAATTACATTAATTGAGGCATCAGTAGGTAAAATGTTTTTGAATATTTATATAAAACTGTAAAATAAGACTCTCTGATTAAACTATTATTCTAACCTTCTTCATTATACATGTGCTTACGTGTCCTTCTAATAATAACAATAAAGTAAAATAATAAATGTAATAATAATAAATAGAGTAAAATAAGACATGTAATAAAAATAATAGTAGAGTAAAATAATGTAAATGTAATAATAATAATACACAGAGTAAAATAATAAATGTAATAAAAATAATAATAATGCAGTCCTAAATGCTTGGGCAGTGTTCGACTTGTGATTTTGTGATACGAAATCCAGCATATATATCTCATTTTCTGTGTCATACTGTGTTTTTGTGTCAGTAAAATAATGACAGAGTAAAATAATAAATAACTTTGACTCAAGTATAAGACAAGCCTAAAAAAAAGGGCCGAAAAGCTTAGCTTATACTCGAGTATATATGGTAATTTCTGCACTTTAAAGTGCAAAGCTTTATGTTATGGCTTTTGCATACAATTTATATTAGTTCACACAAACATGCTCCATCCATCTGCCACTGGCCTGGCCCATCTGTCAAATTTTAAAATGCAGTGCCAAAAAGTTTGCCTGAGCCTATTTCCCACTGAACACCTTTTGTTTCAGCATGTGTACAAAAACAGAATAAACGAATACTTTGAAAGCAAGAACACGTACCATGGCAAACTGAAACATGAGTATATTGGCCAATATATGTCATGCATTGATGCAGTGGTTTGAATGTTGGATTTGGACTCTGAGATACTCGGGTTCAAATGCCTGTTCGGTCATGGAAGCCCATTAGATGATCTTGTGTAAGTTACACTTTTTCAGTCTCAGAGGAAGACAATGGCAAACCCCACTCTGAACAAATCTTGCTTTAAAAAACTCTGTAATAAGAGTCAATTTAAGATTACCATAATTCAGAAATGATTTGAGTGCACATAACAACATATCAATATTTTTAAGACGTATAACTTGGGGAAATTTTCTCTTTACCTAGCTAAAGATGGCTGATCCTTGGCAAGAATGTATGGACTTTGCCGTTCCTTTAGCAAGAAAAGCTGGAGAGGTATGTCTACTTTACTCTGGAGTGTCCTAAGCATTTCATTATTTTAATCAGAAATATTAGATGTGTTAAAGTACTGTGATTGCATGTCTGTTTCGTGCTTGAGCAATGTGAAGACATGCGAGACTTACAAAACAAAGGAAGGAAATCCTTTTTTAAAAAAAAATAAGTGGTAATGTAAGGTTCAGAAAAGTCTGATAAGTTTGGAAGGAAGTCTTAAAAATGCAACCATTCACTCAATGTTGATTTTGCCTGTGTGCCCACACAACTTAGTTATTTGTGGCATAGGGACATTTGAATTTGGAAGGACAAAGGGTTCTTTTTCATTGCCTGAAAACAATTACTTCTCAAAAAGATGACTGTGTTCAAACCTAGTCTGGATGACTACTAAACGTGATATGAATTTTGTAAAACTAGTCCATCCTGCTGTTTATACTTTTGTAACCCTGATATGGAAAAGTTTCAAAAGAATTATATTTTGATTTTCAATGGTGCTATCTTTATCTAATCAATTGTATTAATTTGAAGTTTTCAGTGGGTTTTTTAAATGATTTATACAATTATCTTTGCAGGTAATTCGAGAAGCACTGACAAAGGAGATAGCTATCATGATTAAAAGTTCTCCAGCAGATCTGGTGACAGTCACTGATCAAAAAGTGGAAAATATGATAATTTCTTCTATCAAAGAAAAATATCCATCTCACAGGTACCACTGTATTTGAGAAGAGAGATTTTAAAAGAGATGAGTCTGAAACACATATATTAAACTTTTTTTTATCCTAATGGCTTCAAATTAATTACAGGAAAGCCTGCACATTAAAAATGTTGTTTCCGTAATGTTTTAAAGATCCACTTGCCATGTGTAATGTATTACATTTCATTTCCAAATAGGAAGAGATAGGATGGAAGGATAATGTTTCTTGGCTTGTGTTCTCTCCAGATGTATTAGATTACAGCAGTGGTTCTTAACCTGTGAATCCCCAGGTGTTTTGGCCTACAACACCCAGAAATCCAGACCAGTTTACCAGCTGTTAGGATTTCTGGGAGTTGAAGGCCAAACTATTTGGGGATCCACAGGTTGAGAATCACTGGACTACAGCATCCATCACTGTCATTTAACATAGCTGTGCTGTGTTAGAATATCAGGAGTTGTACTCCAAGAGACAAGATAGTCTGAAGGAAGTGCCATAGTAATTGTAGGAATCTGAGGACAAAAATAATATGCAAATAACAAGAGAGCTAAATGACTAATCGGAATATGCAAAGAAGCAACAAAGTCAGTAGTCGTGAGACATTGTGTGCATCTGTACTGTAGAATAATCCAATTTGGCCTTTCTTTAACTGTCATGGCTCAATATTATGTAATATTATATTATGTAATGGAGCCCCCGGTGGCGCAGTGGGTTAAACCCCTGTGCCGGCAGGACTGAAGACCGACAGGTCGCAGGTTCGAATACAGGAAGAGGCGGATGAGCACCCTCTATCAGCTCCAGCTCCTCATGCGGGGACAATTTTCTCACACCAGAAGCGACTTGCAGTTTCTCAAGTCGCTCCTGACACAACAATAAATAAATAAATAAATATGTAATCATGGAGTTGTCATTTTAATACAAAAAGTGCTAATGTCTCACAAATCTATAAATCCTAGGATTCCACAGCATCCATGACAGCTAAAGTGGTGTTAAACTGCATTAAATTTACAGTGTAGATGTAGCCATTCAAATGTATGAATGAGTGCCAACAGTCAAGCAGAACCCCATTTTGTCTTCTTTATAGACAGAAACTAAAAAGAGTAGTGCTCTGATGATAGACGGATAAACCATGTAGAACATTGAGATCAGATTCCAATTGCTGTTCTACATGCAGTATATTGCAAGGAAAAGGGCAGGCATCTATTGCCTGCAGAGATGCTTTCCTCCCACCCTGTCACCCCCCCAAAAGGCAAATAAATCAATTCATTCAGCTCTGTCTATCAGCATGATGACTGCATAGCCCTCCAGGCAGGGGTTGTTTAATTCCCAGGCCCCATAGTGCTCTAAATGTGAAAAAGTAAGGAAAGATTGGAATGAAGGGGGTTGAATCCTTGACAGAAAACAGAAGTCAGCTGGGGTCTTTAAACTGAAGCTAGACAGCCATCCTTTGGGAATGTACTGACTCAGGATTTCCTGAATAAGAACCCCGCTGAATCAGAACAAAGGACAGTCTAGTTCAGCACTCTGCTTATACAGACACCAGCCAGAAGCCAATTTGATGCCCCTAGTACATTTTAATAATAAGAAGAACAACTTTATTTGTATCCCCCCTCCCACCATCTCCCAGAAGGGACTTGGGGCGGCTTACAGAACAGCACATAATAGTGCCATAAAAACACATAAAATACAGGTAAATTACATCAACATTTAAACAATAACAATATCAATTAACATAAAACAATATTTACAAAACATAAAATGCCCAACTCAATTTAAATAAAATACTCAAATAAATGCAGCAATAGCCTCTATTAAAATTGGCAATACAAACATGTTAAACATCCCAGCCACAACCAAACTACAAGTAACATTAAAGTGCCAGAGTCAGTATAAATTCGTTTGGTCCTCTAATTTAGCTGATGTCTTAGCCATTGTCGAAGGGCTGCCTAAAGAGTCATGTTTTCAACTCCCTCCAGAAACATTGTATACAGAAACACATTGCCTCTGGTACGGTCTCATCGCCATTGCAAAAAATAATATTTCCCCCCATTCCTTTTCAAAGTGCTCTCCTTTTAACATCATAATTGTTTGTTTTAGCAAATTGCACCGTTTAACAATAGTCTTGTAGGCAGCATTTTGCCCATCTGTTGCTGTATTGGATACACACTTTGATTAGTATTTGCTGTTCGAGATTCTTGCCCCGCACTGACTCATGGCAGGCCCAACCTTTGTACTAACCTTGATATTTTTATAGTGGAAGAGTCTGTTGTATTCATGCCCTTCTCCGGAGAATTCTGCCAGGCCGCTATACACCAGTCACTCTACAAGGATATTAAATTAGGTCTTTCAGGCAGATCTAGCAAGGCTTTGTATGTTTCACTTGCTTAAAGTAGATCTAGTAAACCTGTGGCTCTTGCTTGTTGATGATAATGGGAGAGTTGTTCAGCAGTGGAACTCTCTGTCCCAGAGTGTAGTGGAGGCTCCTTCTTTGGAGGCTCTTAAACAGAGGTTGGATGGCCATCTGTCAGGGGTGCTTTGAATGCGATTTTCTTGCTTCTTGGTAGAGGGTTGGACTGGATGGCCCACGAGGTTTCTTCCAACTCTATGATTCTATGATAGTCTAGCAGTGGGACCAATGTACTCTGGATGAAATGAGAAAGCGCCTTCTTTGTTCATTTGTGGAATATTCTCTTAGAAATCTGCTTAGTGCCGACCCCAGTGTTATTATAGCAACAAGAAAAACATGATGTTTTAAAAATCATTCAGATGCAATCTAAAACTGCACATGCACTGTAATTTGAAATTGGTTTAAGCTGTTTCTAATTGGCTTCTAATAATAATAATAATAATAATAATTTCATTTTTATACTCCGCCTCCATCTCCCCGAAGGGACTCAGGGCAGCTCACAAAGGGACATACCCAAGAAGTACAGGTTAAAACAAGCATAAAAATACAATCAACAAAAAAAATCAATAACACATCATAATCAGACAACATAAAAACAATATCATGGTTGAACAACAAATGATGGGTTCAGGCTCATGATTCCTAAGTGCAATGATGCTTACATAGAGCCGAGGGAAAGTGCAACAATACTTTTGATATTCTTTTAGTCTGTTCTTATTTCTGTGAGAGATACAAGGTTGAACACTGTGAAAGTCACCCACTGTATGGCTATCAGCCTCCTCCCAGTGGACTCAAATCAAGGAAAAGCTTCATGACAACCACCACTCCTCTTAACATTCCCCCAGCAACAGCAAGAGTATCCCTCTGGGGAGCTAAACCAGGAAATCCCAACTGGATGCCCCCCATGAGGGTCTGCCCCCAGGTGCAAACCAAAAATGGGCAACTTGGAAGTCCATGAACAGACTTAGAAGTCAAGTGGGCAGATCCAAAGACAACCTGGCACAATGGAACTACCTAAAAGAATTCTCCACCTTGTGTGATTGTGGAGCAGAACAGACAACTCAGCATCCGTATGCTTGTCCACTATTCCCTGCCTCGCGTACAGAGGAAGAATTGTTGGAGGCTACAGACAATGCGGTTGCTGTTGCCCGTTTTTGGTCAAAAGATATTCAGCCATTTGTGCTCCTTCTATTTTTATCAGTTTTATACTAATTTATGCAATGCTTTTGATACGAAATAAAAAAAGTCTGTTCTGTTTTATACTGTTGAAACTGATTCATTCTACACTACACTGAGAATCTGTAATATTGGGTGGGGTATACATATTTAAATTTTCAAAATGTATACATTCCTCAACCCTTAACCATGCCCATCCTGCGTGGGATTGGTGGAAATTGGGAGCCAGCAGCATGTGGTAAACCATAAGATCACCAGCTTCTATGTTACATGTAAAATGAACTGGCTCCAAAGAAATTCTGGAAATTGTTTGTTGGATGAGTGATAGTTTCTGAAACATGTTGTAAGATCTACATATATAAAATCTAAATACAAAAATGCATCCTTTCTGTGAGGGAAAAAAACAAACGCCCACCTGTTTGTTCATTCTAGCTTCATTGGAGAAGAATCTGTTGCAGCTGGTGCAGGAAGTACTTTGACTGATGATCCTACTTGGATTATTGACCCTATTGATGGAACTACTAACTTTGTGCACAGGTATGTTTTTAAATCTTTCTATCATAAAGCTTCATAAACTCAGGGGTAGGGGGGAGTCTCTGGATTCCCTGATCTCTAGAATCTTTGAGCTTTTTTATGGGAGGAATATGTTAGAACTTGGAAACACATTCAGGGATAGCCATGCAGCAAAACACAATAGAATCTGAAATGTTAAATCTTGTTCATCAACTTGATTAGGAGGTTCATGTAAAATGTTTCCCCAAGTTCCCTAATTTATCACTGTACAATTGTTGATTTTTCCTACTGTTAACATCATACCTACAAACCTACTTGTCTCTCTTTCATTCTCCAGGTTTCCCTTTGTGGCAGTTTCAATTGGTTTTGTTGTAAAGAAACAGGTAACTCCTTCTTTCATTTGAATATTTGCTAGAAAGCGTAACATGCTTCAATTCATTATTTTTTTATTGATTTGCTGTTCTTCTATCAAAAAATAAAATGGTTCATTTTTCTGACTGCAGATGGAATTTGGGATTGTGTATAGCTGCGTAGAAGACAAAATGTATACTGCCAGGAAAGGAAAAGGGGCCTTTTGCAATGGGCAAAAACTCCAAGTATCAAAACAAAATGGTAAGGCTTTATCATGTAAGGGCTGTTAGTAGAGTAAGTGTATCAGACACTGCTATAATAAGGATATGAGGAAACGGGGGCTGCATTATTTTACAAGCTTTCTTTTACTAGATGTGGCTCTTACTACAGTTGGTCGTTTATGTTTGTGGATTTTATAATTGATGGATTTCATTAAAATATTCTCCCTGGGAATCTCTCTGTCCTACAGTGTGATTCTATGGTCGGCTTCATGCTGGAGGAATATATCTGTAGGATCTAGCAAAAACTGACAATAGAGTCATTTTGGAGAAATTAAATATTCCTAGAGAGGTGTTCGCAGGTAAAACAATAGCAGTTTTATTATTTGCGATTTTGTGCTCCCAGCCTTAGCCAGTTTGGTAGCCTGACTGTATTCTATTGGCAAAGATCTTCTATTTGCTGAGTTACCTTCTGTCAAATGACCTTCTTTGCCTGGAACTGAAGCCTTCAGTTTGGTTTTGTACATTAGAACATGCCTAGATAGTGTTTGCCTCTGTATCTCTCATAGCTGGTCTTATGTTGTTATATGGGTGCCTTTTTGTTGAGCCTCCTCTTAGTAGCTGCTAGTATCCTACTACATTTGGTGCTTTCCTGTTGAGCATCCTTAACCTGAACATTCCTGACTGAAGACCTCAGTCTGACTTTGGACCAGTCACACACACAGCCCAGCCTTCCTTACAGAGTTTTTTGTGAGACTAAAGTCGGGGTAGGGAAGACATCCACGTGTGCCCCCTTGAGTGCATCTGTAATTATTCCACAAAGTATAGTTAATGTAATAAGATTGGCCTTTAATCAGAAACTATTTGATCAACCTTGAGCCCATCCACAGAGCCATATAACCCAGAATGTCAAGGCAGAAAATCCCACAATATCAGCTTTGATCTGGGTTATCTGAGTCCACACTGCCATATATCCCAATTCAAAACAGATAATGTGGGATTTGATTTAGCTGTGTGGAAGGGGCCCTTGTCTCATCAGATTTTTTTAGTCACAGGTTTGTTGAAGCTCAACAATTCAGATTCCAAGGGAACATCTGTTTTAGTTTATTGCTGCATAAATAATAGTGTTGTGGGGCCATTTTATTGAGACACAAACATTTGCAAATTGGGCTGTAGCTCATGAAAGTATATGCTAGAATAAAAACTGATTACTGTACTGTTTAACAACCACAAGTGTCATTGTTTTGTGTAAAATCTAGCAAGAGAAAACACATGTTTTTATACATCAAGTTATTTTGTGTGTGTGTGTGCAATTTATTGTATTAATGCCGTTTTAAAACAATGCTTTTCATTGCTACTAATCAAATGTGAATTAATCTAATAGACAGACTTGATTGTCAGTCTTTTCCTTACTTACTTTCCCCTCCAGATATTACAAAAGCCCTCTTAGTGTCAGAGCTGGGATCCAACCGTGATCCAGAAGTTATAAAAACAGTTCTTGCTAACATGCAGAGGCTCCTCAGCATTCCTGTTCATGGGTATGGCATGTTTCTTCCTTCTCCCTTATTTCCCTCACCCCTGGCAGTCTCCTTGAGAACATTCTCAATCATTCAAAGCATCCCCAACAGATGGGCATCCAGCCTCTGTTTAAAAGCCTCCAAAGAAGGAGCCTCCACCATACCAGTTAAGATTCAAAGCTTAACTGGTATGCTGGGCTATGGGAAAGGGGGGTGGAGTCCTTAGAGGACTCTATTCCCCTTTCTAACATTTCTACCCCAGTATGATGCATTATTGGGATAAAAAGGGGGAATGATGTGATGTAGCAGTGCGCTCGTATGAAAAATAACATGGTTATATTGGATTGGCTCAAAAGCTAACTGGATTTATCGAATTCAACAGGACTTCAGTTTACCCAACTCACTGTTTTCAGAGAATTAGTGTTTATTCTGAATATCTAAATATTTGACAGAGTTATTGTGCCATTGCAAAGAATATACAGTACACTGTCTGTTTTAGGATAAGAGCAGTTGGGACAGCGGCTGTAAATATGTGCCTGGTGGCAACAGGAGGAGCTGATGCCTATTATGAGATGGGGATTCATTGCTGGGATATGGCCGGAGCTGGAATTATCATTACAGAAGCAGGTGGTGTGCTGCTCGATGTCTCAGGTAAAATGTGTGGAAAGATTAACAATAGTAGTTGTGTGTTGCTTTTTTATTGAAAGAAAACCACTTGCTGTGCGTCATTAGAAATTGCCAGTTACTGAAGGAGCCTAATCTATACCACAGTAGCTCAGCATTTAGCTCCGTTTCATTCAGTGGAACAGATATACATCTAACTTCTGCTAAATTATACACACTAATTTCTGTTACATTGCAGCCTAGTCAGGAGGGGCATGCCAAAGTATTATATTAGTTTATCATTAGTTTAAGGAAAACATTCATTTTAGCCATAATCTGATGAGGCCGCGGTGGCACAGGGGGTTGAACTGCTAAGCTGCAGAACTTGTTGACTAGAAGGTTGGTGGTTCAAATCTTCAGGACGGGCTGAGCTCCCGTTGTTAGCCCCAGCTTCTCCCAATCTAGCAGTTCGAAAACATGCAGATGTGAATAGATCAATAAGTTGTTGTCAGCTGGAAGGTAACGGTGCTTCATGCAGTCATTCCTGCCACATGACCTTGGAGGCATTAACAGACAACGCCAGCTCTTTGGCTTAGAAATAGAGATGAGCACAACCCCCCAGAATTAGACTCAACTAGATTTAATATGAAGGGGAAACCTTTACTTTACTTGATGTAGTGATCAGCCAGAACTCTGAGGAATCCTGGCTTACCATAAATGATGGCCACCTTAGTGCACACAGATGATTTGTTCCTTTCCACTAGTATGTCCATTAACTGGCAAAACAAACTTTTTGTTTCCTTTGTGACACGACCAAACAAAATAATCTACACTTTAGTACAGAAGGGCTAACACAGGCTTCTGTGCAAGGATGTAAATTGGTAGCCATCATGACCAAGAAGTAATTTGCAGAACAAGTGATCTCCATAGAACAGTGGTTCACAATCTGGGATCCTTCAGGTGTTTGGACTTCAGCTCCCAGAAATCCTAGCCGGTATAGCCAATTCCTAGGAATTCTGGGAGTCAACATCCATAGAATTATTTGAGTTGCAATATAAAACAGCACATGATAGATTTGGATGACACCACAAGGGCTGCCCAGTCCCATCCCTGCCATGCAGAAACATAGAATCAAAGCAAAGCCCAAATCAGGTTGAGAATTACTTTCCTGGAAGTACTCAAGTCTTGGCAGATATTTATTTACTGCATTTTTATTGTGCTCTATCTCAACCCCAGAGGGGACTCAGAGCAGCTACTGGTATTGCAGTTTATCAGGTTGTCATTGTCCTCATTCCCACTAGGTTGTTACACCTTGTCGATACTCTTTGAAAAAATAACACCTTACAAAACAGAAATTACAAATTAGGAGCAAACCCTGTCTTGTAAGTAACAGAGCAAGATGACCGCAGTTTGGACAACACTAAGACCATTCCTGGTTCATTTGGAAATCACACTTAGGCTCCTTCCACACTGCCCCTATGTCCCAGGATCTGATCCCAGATTATCTTCTTATCCCATATTATTTTCTTATTCTTATTTCTTTTAACTGGAGTCTCATATAATCCAGTTTAAAGCAGATAATCTGGGATCAGATCATGGGATCTAACGCAATGTAGAAGGGGCCTAAGAGGAATGAACAATGCCGAAGTAATTATGAGGTCTGCACAAATACACTTCTCATTCATGTTAAACCTGGATTTTCTGGAATACTAGTTTATCATGCTCTACGAAGAGGTTTGGCCATTTTTGGACATTGGGAATGCCTCAGTTTTCATCTGTATAATTTATTTTATGCCAGAATATGGCACTTTGGCTTTTAACATTCCTTGTTAAAACATGTTTGGCTTTTACCATGGGGATCTAGAATACAACCCTATCTTGGACCGCCTCTCAACCACAGCATGCCCAAAAATGTGTTATTTACTTCAGGCTTTAACTTCCCTGAGCACATATTCACTTGCTTTTAAGGGGAATGATGCACAGTGGATACAAAGGAGAAATCTCAACTCCCAATATGTTCAGAGGCAGACCCATTATCCTGTATGCAAAGGGATCCTGTAGCATTTTTGAGACTGGGGGCCCTTCCACACATCCATATAACCCAGAATATCAAGGCAAATTATTCACAATATCTACTTTGAACTGGGTTATCTGAGTCCACATTTCCACATAATCCAGTTCAATGTGGATTTTATACAGCTGTGTGGACGGGGTCTGAGAGAGAGGAGTTATCCTCCTTCATCAAATGCATGAAAGGAACTAAGGAAGTAGACTAAGTTTATGAAAATTTATGCTACAACCTCTTTTAGTTAGCATCAAAGGTGGTACAGGATCCCTTTGCATACTAATAATCCAGATTAACATAGTTATGTCTTTGAATGCTACCATCTGATTTCCTTCATAATAAGACTAAAGTAGCAAACCAATGAGACTTAATTGTTGTTGTTTTCTTGTCCAGGGAAGCCATTTGATTTGATGTCAAGAAGAATAATTGCTGCAAATAGTCAAGTACTGGCAGAACGAATTGCAAAAGAGATTCAAGCCATTCCATATCAAAGAGATGATGCAACAAATTAGTATCTAAATGCTATCCTCCACATGCCGAACATTTTTTGTCAGCTGGTCTGCATACTTCAAACAAGCTTTGTGCGTGAAGCATACCCTTTGCACTTGAGTAGTTTAGCAGGCAAACTAGGGATTGGTGTTTAAAATCCTGACATTTAAAAGCCTGAATTTCAAATCCCCGCTACTTTCAAAGCTTCAGGAAATTTCCTTCCTCTTGTGTAAATGGCACATGGTCATTTGAAAATGATTGTTAAGTGTTCTGTTTTTCAGTCTCTGAAAGGTGAAATATTTGAGGAGTCAGGACAAGATTATTTTAACCCAGGATTTAGTATTTTGTATATGTACCATATAATTTATTAATATATTGTCGAAGGCTTTCATGGCCAGAATCACTGGGTTGTTGTAGGTTTTTTCGGGCTATATGGCCATATTCTAGAGGCATTCTCTCCTGACGTTTTGCCTGCATCTATGGCAAGCATCTTCACTACCTCTGTCAAGAGAGAATACCTCTAGAACATGGCCATATAGCCCAAAAAAACCTACAACAGCCCAATTTATTAATAGTTTAGCCCCAGTATCGTTCACAGCAAGATTATTGAACCTATGTATACTGAGTGTTGTATATATTCCGTTTTGTACATTCTGAATTCCCCACCACAAAACTCTTTTTTAAAAAATAGAATAGAGAATGTATGTCCCTCTAGATGTTGGACTCTAACACCAATTTCTGACTATTGCCTATCCTGACTAGAATTCCTGCGAAACTACATTGGAGGGGTCACGTCATTATGGTTAAATATTTTAATAAAAAAAGAATGAAGGAAAATGTTCAGAAATGATTAATAAATGTATGGCCACAAATTCGCAAGTACATGGACTTGTTTTTGTAAACTGAAGAAGAATCCAGATGCCATCCTGGCAAATTCATGGTCCCAGCTACTCTTTCGTCACTTTCAAGATTGCAGAGGGGTGGTGGAGGAATATTTTCAATCCATGAGTGATGGAATACGTGGATACTACAGCACTGCATAGTGGTTCATGGGATGGGCTAGGGGCCCTTTCACACAACTGAATAAAATTCCACATTATCTGTTTTGTACTGGAATATACTGTATGACAGTGTGGACTCAGACAACCCAGTTCAAAGCAGATATTGTGGAATTTTCTGCCTTTATATTCTGGAATATATGACTGTGTGGAAGGGCCCTAGGACTCTGGAAGAGTCCCCACTCAAATCCCCACTCAGCCAAAGAAGCACACTGATAGTTCTTTTTTGTCACAATTGTGTGTTTTTTTGGGGGTTTTTTAAACCCTCCTATGACAAACACAAAAATTCTGAATTTACTTCTTCACAGCAACAATACCTACAAAAACAGTTTTAGGGCCCTTCCACACAACCATATAACCTGGCATATCAAGGGAGGAAATCCCAGAATGTCTGCTTTGAACTGTGTTATCTGAGTCCACGCCGCCATATATTCCAGTTCAAAGCAGATGTTGTGGGATTTCCTGCCTTGATATTCTGGATTATATAGCTGTGTGGAAGGGTCCTTAAATATACCTCTAGACCAGTGGTTCCCAACCTTTGGTCCTCCAGGTGTTTTGGACTTCAGTTTACAATTCCTAACAACTGGAGGACCAAAGGTTGGCACTTTCCCTCTCCCTTTCTTTTTATTGACTGCAGATTACTACCTCTAGGGCCCTTTCCCTACAGCTGAATAAAGTCCCATATTATCTGCTTTGAATTGGAATATATGGCAGTGTGGACTCAAATAACCCAATTCAAATTAGACATTGTGGGATTTGCTGCCTTGATATTCTGGGTTATATGGCTTTGCGGAAGGGCCCCAGGTGTTAACCTTTCACCAGTAGAGGGACTCAGTTCACCAAAATAGAACACTTCTTACTGCTTTCTCTTACTAATACCGCAATGCACTAATATGCTTAATAAGTCTATATTAACTTTGTGTATTTGTTGTTGATGGCCTGTGTAATGCCAGTACACTCTCTTGTGTATGGTATGCTGAATGCTTTATGACTTTTGGCATACAGCAATGCATCTCCTTGGGGAGATAGGGTGGGATATAAATAAAGTATTATTATTTTATACACAACGAGATTAGTACACAGCAAACAAGATCACAATGCTGGCTTTTGTATTCAATCACATGTCGGACACTTCCCAAGTGTCTAGGACTGCGTGAAGTATCAGCAAATAATGTGTGCAGCTCTGAGATGGTACTCTGAGATGGTCAGCACCAATTGTTTTTAGGTGCAGGCCAAGGTTTTTAGACACTTCACCAAGTGTGCCAATCACTACTGGGATCACCTTTACTGGCTTGTGCCAGAGTCTGCAGCTTGATCTTTAAATCCTCTCATCATCATCATCTCTTGCTATCTACTATGGTACTGATATTCTTCCCCCCCCCCCCCAAATGTATCAAGGCCTAGTACCATCTTTGCACCTATTGGATGCAAATGTTCCTTCCTTTCCTAAAAACTCAGTGGCAGCCAATGCTTCATGGATCAGCACCACTCCATGGACCACCATTGTTGATAAGCAAGGACATACACTAACTACCTCTTACCAAAAGATTGCATTACACCAAAATGTTCAAAAACTAGATATATCAGGAATTCCTACTAATGAAATTTTCCTTAAATCCAAATTTTCCTGAAATCCTGCATTGCAATATCTAGAAATAAAAGCTTAAGCATTCCAAAAAAAGGAGGAGGCGACATTTATTTATTTACCATATTTATCGCCCATAGGCGACTCAGGGAAGTTTACATTTGACACAATTTGATGCCCCCCCCCCAGCAACATAAAAACACTTAAAATATTAGCATATAAAATATAAATTCATATACAGTCAATAAAAACAGTAAAAACATATCCTTGGCGACTCCTTACTAAATTCATTATTCGACACATTGTCCAGTCATCCCGTGGGTATATCTCTGGCTGTTACATTGTATTTGCAAATGCTTGCTCGAAAAGACAGGTTTTTACTTTCTTGCGAAATGTTAAGAGGGAGGGGGCCAATCTAATATCCCTAGGAAGGGCGTTCCACAGCTGAGGGGCCACTACTGAAAAGGCCCTGTCTCTCGTTCCCACCAAACGCATCTGTGAAGAGGGCGGGACCAAGAGCAGGGCCTCCTCAGATGATCTTAAAGTCCTAGATGGTTCATAAGGAGAGATATGTTCAGACAGGTAAGCTGGGCCAGAACCATTTAGGGCTTTATAGGCCAAAGCCAGCACTTTGAATTGTGCCCAGTAGCAGACTGGCAACCAGTAGAGCTGACACAACGGAGGGGTTGTGTGCTCCCTGAGCGCTGCTCCCATTAGTAACCTGGCTGCCGCCTGTTGGACCATTTGAAGCTTCCAAACAGTCTTCAAAGGCAACCCCACATAGAGCGTGTTGCAGTAATCTATGTATTAACATTAATATATGCATTATTTACAATGTCTCAGTTTCTGAAAGGCTCGAAATTTGAAGACTGAAGAAAAATTTCATTTAGGGGGCCAATGTCCTCATCATCAGCCCAACTACACTTCGACACGCTGAGACTGAAGTATACTCCAGTTTTAGTCCCATTTTCTCATCAAAGTTAGGAACAACTTTGTGCAACCCAGTTATAATAACACAGAGAAGTAGCCTAAGGTTAATCACATGTGGCTATTTCCTGTAGATTCAGAGACATTTGTGTTGAGCAAATGTTAGATTCCTCATTTTTACCCTACCCTTCCAAGACTGCTCAAGTTTAACTTTGGATGTTATGTACAGTTTTAAAAATGTGTGAAAGCATTGAGACTGATTAAAAAACCCAGAAGGTCCCAGATTTTCTTCCTGTCCTTTCTGATTTTATTTCAGAGTTCCAAAAAACGCAGGAACAAATCTGAGATTTTAAAAATCTGGATGATCTCTTAACTATTTATGCAAAGAACGTTATGCGTGGCTTGGCCATCAGATGGTGATCTAGAGTCATTCTGGGAAGTCTTATTTCCTGACCGTATGCTGACTTGTCCTATAATAACCCCTGATTCTGCTCTCTATCCTTTTGCATTCACATAGCATTTCAAACGTGTCTTTCATCCATAGATTTCACACACTCATGTGATCAAGTATAAATACATGCATACATTTAGCAAATTAAAGCAATTGTTTTACTTTCTTTGTCACTAAATCAAGAGACCACCTAAGTTAGATGTTGATGGACATTGGAACACCTGTGTGGGCGCTCATTTTCGGGGTTCCCCTGCCTCTCCTGTTGCTTCAGACCACTTTTTCCATCAGCCCACTTTGGTTGGGATTCAATGTTTACTTTTAAGCTCTTTCTTGTATTTATATTTGAATTATTGTATGTTTACTTTTAAGCTTTTCATTGTATTTCTACTTCTAAGCTTGTTATTGTATTGTATTTATATTCAAATTATTATCTCATGTTTTATTATTGTATGTTTAAATTTATATGTCAATTGTTTAAATTCATATGTTATGTTTATTATTATATGTGTAATGTGGCATTGTATGCCATGGATTGTAAACCACCCTGAGTCCCCCACTGGGGTGAGAAGAGTGGGGTATAAATGTAATAATAATAATAATAATAATAATAATAATAATAATAATAATAATAATAATGGAGATATTATTCTCACTCTTCTCTCTCTTCTAATGTTATTTTCAGAGACCCACTGCTTTTCCCAGCTGAAGTTGACTGACAATCATGATTTTAATCCTCCTGTGCATGGTACTTGCTGGTCTTCCCTGTCTTTGAAGAGTTGTTTTGGAAAAGAGCTTAGCAGCAAGATTAGAGGCAGCAAGGGTCTTAGAGACCACACCATAAGCAAGCCTATATGTTAACTGTGGGATTAACCCTTTCCTATCTGGGAAGTATAAACTAAAGTAGATACATATACTGGTTCACATCCAACAATGTGTGACTTTCTTATAGTAATTTAACAACATGCTTCACTTTTGCTATATAAGGAAACTCATCGGAACCACAGTTGGAGTCAAAACAAGCATAGTTGTGACCCTACAAGCCTGCAGGAGCTTCAATTTTCTTTTCAGACATAACAAAGAGCAAATTCCCTTGAATCAATGGTTCTCAACCTGTGATCTGTGGACCACCAGTGCTCCACAAGAACAAAAATATGGTCTGCGGCCTCACCATTTCTAAACCATTGCCTTGAAACCACATGGAAACAAGAACAACTGGTCTCACAAAACCAAGTGCCAAGGCAACAGGGATGTCAGGTGCCAAGGCAACAGGGATGTCAGGAGAGGAGAGGCTGACTACCCACAAAAGATTACTACTACCACATCAGCTCTAGATGATTAAATATGGTTTTCTGTGGATGAGCAGGTGGCGACTACTGGGTGGCATATATTCTGTAAAAGAAACTAGAGTTGATGTGGTCTGTCCAATGCAATTTTCTGAATCAGCACTCCAAATAACCAAACCAAATCTAAAGTTGACCAAAAACTGATTCATAACCTTTTTTGTACTAATGTTGGAGAGTGGACACTGGTCAAAGTGGTCCCTGGTCAAAAAGGTTGGAAACCACTGCCTTAAATCCTATATTAGCTTGGTTGCTCATGCCTTTCTTCTTGGCACACATGTAAAGATGGGTCCAAATTCAAACTCCCAACATTACAGCCATTCATAAAATAATAGAGTTGGAAGAGACCACATGGGTCATCTAGTTCAACCCCTTGACATACAGGAAAAGCACAGTCAAAGTATTCCTGACAGCCTCTGTTTAAAAGTTTCCAAGGAAGATGCTTCCACCACACTCTGAGTCAGAGTTCCATCGCTGAACAGCTCTTATAGTCAGGAAGTTCTTCCTAATATTCAGGTGGAATCTCCTTTCCATTAATTTGAACCCATTGCTCCTAGTCCCAGTTTCCAGGACAGCAGTAAACAAATCTGCTTGTTTTCCAAGGTATTTTACTGCTTGATATAAAATGGCAAACTTTTCATGCAAAGGGTAGTTGTTGGATCTTTTCTGGCAATAGCACAACATCCTTCTTCACCACCTGAGTTTAGCAGCATAACTTAAGGACAGGCTCTACAACATCCATTGTAGTATCCTCCTTCGACATCTTCCTGCTGCTCCAACAACACTTGCACTTGAAGCAAAGCCAAAACTTGAAGCAAAGCCAAAACAAGAAAACAAAGTCCAAAACAAAAAAAAAAAAGAAATGCCTGGTCCTTCAGATGTTGTACTATAGCTTTCTTCATCCCTAGGCAACACAGGGAATGGTGAGGGATGATGGGTGCTACAGTTCAACACATCTTAGCCAAATGGTATCGTTCCTACACTCTATACATTCTTACAAGTTGTGTTTCCCCCCTCCCCAGCTTTTCTTTTTTACAAGGGGATTCTATGAATCTGTGATAAGACAAAATTTCCTTGCTGTAGCACTTCCTCAGGTGATTTTTCTCTCCTTGATCAGCAACATGTGATTTAAAATTGAATGACATTCTTTTACTATGTGGACAACTGACTCCTTTACAACAGGTGTCCCTGGTCAAGAATTTGTGTGCTCCAAATCAGAGAAATAAGGCTTTATATTTAAATGTGAATATGAATATAAATCCAATTTGCAGTCAAAATGAAATGAAATGAAAATTTAGAGCTTTGTTAACATACTGAACGACATTACTTCAAATGTTTAGTGCATTCATATAATTTCCTATACAGGCAGTCCCCAAGTTACAAACATCTGACTTACAAATGACTCATAGTTAAGATCAGAAGTGAGACAACAGGTAATGAGAAAAATCAATCCCCCGGAAGGGAAATTCACTCCTGAAAGGGTTATCATGGGACAAGGTGTCTCCACTGAAGCTTCATTACTAATTCTTGTTTCCACAACAAACCCATTTTTTCAAAATCCAATTCAGGGACAGAAAGTGAGGTGAAATCTTCTGAGAAGACACAGACAGCAAAAACAAACACTACAGGGGTGTTAACCCTTCCCCATTCTATCCAATGTGTTTGTGTGTGTATGTGCACATTTTTAAGTGTAACTCCAGCCAGATATATATGGCTGGAGTTACACTTTAAAATGTACCTGTTCCAGCTTACATACGAATTCAACTTAGGAACAAACCTACAGAACCTATCTTGTTTGTAACTTGGGGACTGCCAATATTTTTCTTTTAGGTCATATTTTTATTACCCTGAAATATTGCTCATCAAATGCTGGAAAACATGCTTCTCCACATTTATTTCTTGGAACGAAGCACAGGACTATGGCAGAATAATATATTTGGAATTTCAGCCATAAGTAGCTGCAGTACTAGAGCCAGAAACTATATATACTGGAGTTTCAAAAGATAGAAATGTATCCTAGTTATCTCATATATCTTAACCTAAGGCCCATTCCACACAGCTGTATAAAATACACACTGAATTGGATTATATAGCAGTGTGGACTCAGATAACCCAGTTCAAAGCAGATATTGTAGATTATCTGCCTTTATATTCTGGCTTTGTGGAAGGGCCCTCACATCATTTTAAAGTGCAAATATTTATGCATGCTCTGCCACTGGATTATTCAAGCATTGTTTAAAGATCTACCAAAAACCATTCCCCAAAATTAATTGGTCTTTGTTGCATTAGGTGAAGTCACATGACCTGTGTTTGCTTTAAAATATAGGGTCTCTAGGATGAAAATGGAAATGCAGGAATTTTGTTGCACTATGAGGCCAATTGTGAATTGCCTAAGGTCCCCAACTTGTCTGTTACAGTCATCTCTATTCTACTTGGAAGCTAAGTGCTTTACTGTGCCCAGGAAAAAGCTAGTAGTGAAATAGTCAAAGTCCCATCTCAACTCTACTCCTGTTCTAGGTGTAAGTGGTAGATATAGGATTATCCTGGACATTTGAAGCCCTCAGGATTGAGATTCCCACAGGAATGGTAAATAAACTACTGCAGTAAGAATTAATAGGTACTTTTATAGAACAGTTTTGTCCATTTTTACAGGGAAGTAGCCTAAATACGGCAAAGGCACCAGATCCTCTCTGATCATGGAGGCTATATGGGTCAGCACTGATGAGAGTCCACCAACAAATACCAGATGCGGTAGGGCCAGGACTGGTTCTTACATGGGTGGGAGACTGCCAGTGAATGCCAGGTTTATTATATTTCAGAGGAGGAACTGGGGGAAAAAAACCTTTGAGTATTATCAATCTCTCTCTCTCTCTCTCTCTCTCCTCTGTGCATAATTAATACCTTAAAAACAAGTATCTTATGAAATTGATAAGTTGCCATACATCGATAGGCGACATGAAGGCTTATATCCACCCAGTTTGTATTCAGATTATAAATTAGACACCACATCATAAGTCTAATCAATGTACGCTGCAATACAATCATCTTACTAAATTCCCATGGGATTTGCTATCTGACAAAATAGTCCTTTGATGTAGGATAATTAGCTGTTTAGTCAAACAGCTGCAATAATCACCTATTTTCAAGGTCTGTGATAGTAAAACTATATACTGTAGTATCTAACAAAAGCTAGCTAGGAATGAAACCTAGTAAAACAACCACGTTACTTCTGGAGTAGGATGCATTTAAGATTTGAGCTGTAAGACACAAAAACAATTTATTCACTCGGAACAACCATCACAAGTGGAAATTTGCATGCATCCCAAATTATTGTTAACTGTCATCAACTTGAGGATGCCTACCATAGATGTGGGTGAAACATCAGGAGAGAATGCTTCTGGAACATGGCCATACAGCCCAAAAAACCTACACCAAGCCTGTCATCAAGTTGGCTTCAAGTCAGCCCATTCTCAACAGTTTTGCTCATGTCTTGCAGATTCAGGGCCCTAAATCCCATGACTTGATCTATTCACCTGAAATGCAGTTTTCCACTTTTACTACTGCTTTGTACTCACCAACTGGGCCACATTAAACCTTCCTGCATGTAAAGAGCTAACACATGAAACTAGAACCTAGATCAGAGCACATTTTCTAGGAAAATGATGGTTTCCAAAACACAAACTTGAAAAATTTGTCCAGGGAGCCACCGACAACTTCTTACTACACCACCTGACCATATGGTAAATAGAATTACAATGTTTCATTAGTTAAATGGCAAAGTCTCACGATTAAACCATTAAAAAAAACAAACTGAAGAAATACCAAATTTCACCTCTGGATTAAGGATTTGTGTAGGATTTGTTTCAGAGTCCAGCTTCCTGAAAGTAGCATTTGTGAATCTTACAGAAAAAGTTGGAAACAGTCCAATATTCAAATTCATTATTAGGAATGAGACAGAAAAGAAAGTCTGAAGCAGTAAAAATAAAGGGTTGGGATTGGAGGAGGGGATTGAGTGGTCACCCTTTCTCATAAAAGAATGCATATTTTGCTATTTAGTCATATAGCAAACTTGTTTATTAATCATTTCAATGTTTGTTATTCATTTTGCTCTTTGTAAATTAACAAAATTCCACCATTCCAACTCCAAGTTCAGGTGCATAATAGCATAAATCTAGTTCAGTTATTTTGGTGCTTGATGCAGAAACTCCAAAACACATATAACCAAATAAAATTAAATGAAGAATTTGCTGTGCTTTTATGCCACCATGATTCTGCTGCCTGGGGCAGATGACGCACTGCCTAATGGCAGGGCTGGCATGGACAGTTGCTCATGTAGATGTATAAATGACCACTTGGCAAAATGAAATACAATAATGTTTATGATAATTACAGGCTGCCCTAATTAGTACCTTTTAATATTGCAGGGTTTTGCCTTTTGTCACAAGCATCGAAGTCCACCCCACAGTCCCATTAACAAAGCGACTTACAAAGCATTTCTCACCATAAAATGTCACATTTAATCCTCCATCATCTTTATCATCAGACATAAGCTCCCAGGTTCCTAAAAATCGTTCACACATCTTGCATACTATACAGTTTAAAAGCATTCCAGAGATAGGTAACAGAAAGCAAAGAGTGGACATCTGTTTCTGCACTGCTACCGAACTCCCTCTCCTCTTTTTTGTTGTTTGTGTGAGCACCTAGAGATGTGGAAATAATACCTTCAAATGAGGTGGATATTACAAGAAGGGATCTTAATTGTTTTATGAAGCCTAGAATAACAATCTGTGCAGAGGGTGTTTGGCTGAAAATCACAACTGAGAACAGTGTTAAAAAAACAGAGATCTCCTTCAAGCTGGGCCAGGAGTTTGAAGAGACCACGGCAGATAACAGGAAAACCAAGGTAAGTGTTATGAGTGCTCTTCAGGGTTCAATCTCTTTAAGGTGATTGCAAAAGCTATCCCAGTGCAAGACCAGTATAAATAACACCTGACTGACATATTACATGTTCCTCCACACTGCCTGATTTCACAACTCCTTTCCCACCCCTACTGCTGCCACACTGCTGAATTTGAACCACAGAGCAAGCCCTCCAACCATCCTAATTTGGCAGGGACAACCTGAATAATCTATTTAGTCCCAATAGCTGCGTTAAAATATCTTTTTATCCCTCTCCAGCTCCCACTTTTCCCTTACTTCAATGGCTGAAAGCAGAGGTCCTACAGAAGAAGTATCTTATTCCAAATTTGAAATAACCTAGAGATCAGCCTATTGTTTGGAGTGTTAGGGACCAGAGGGCTGTCAAAAAGTGGAATTAGTTGAAAAGTGGAATCAAGATTTTTGTAGTTTGCAAATGCATTTTGACCACTGAAAAACATAAAATTTTTGAATGTGTGATAAAGCTAAAAAAAAGCTGTTGCAGGCATTCAAAAGCAATTCAATGAAAGTTTGCTCTTTCAGTCGGTAAGCCTGGGACCACACACTTGCATGCAACATTTCCAAGTGAATCACATAAGCAGGAACTGATGAAATACATCAAATTAATGGAACCTGTCTGTAATTTGTAAGCATTGAAAGAGCAGGTTATCAGAAAGCGAGGTGACAAAATGTGGGGAAAGCCTGCACTGAATTGTTCTATGTCAAGGGAGCAAGAAAACGCAAGTAGAGCTTTGGAGCGTGTTTTTGGACTACGACGTTAAGATCATCCGAGGAGGCCCTGCTCTCGGTCCCACCACCCTTTGCAAGTGCAGCTGGTGGGGACAAGAGACAAGGCCTTGGCAGTGGTGGCTCCTCGGCTGTGGAATTCCCTCCCTAATGAAATCAGGTCTGCCCCCTCCTTCTTGGCCTTTCATAAAAAACTTAAAACCTGGCCATGGGATCAAACATTTGAGCAGTAGATGTAGCAATTGAGAAGAAAGTGATTTTATGTGATTGGCAATTGACAGACTCTGGACTATGATTCTGAATTTGTTTGGCATCTAATGGTTGTCTGTTGTAAAGCCACCCTGGGTCCACCTCTGGGGGCGAGAAGGACGGGGTACAAATGTGTGAAATACGGCTCCCACCATCCCACAGCTAGCATTGGCACTTTTGCAAGAGTTTTTAAAAGCCCATTACTTTTTGAACAGCAGGGGTTTGCAGTTTCATTACACAGGATTTTGGATTTTATTTTTCTAGAGTATTGTGACCATAGAGAAGGATGGCTCTTTGCTTCATGTGCAGAACTGGTATGGGAAAAAAACTTTAATAAGGAGAAAGCTGGTGTATGGCACTATGGTGGAGGTAAGTAAGATTCCAAGTGCTTGCAGAGTGGGAGTACCATATGGAATGCTTTGGGTGCTCCTAGACCAGTAGTTCTCAACCTGTGGGTCCCCAGGTGTTTTGGCCTACAACTCCCAGAAATCCCAGCCAGTTTACCAGCTATTAGGATCTCTGGGAGTTGAAGGCCAAAACATCTGGGGACCCACAGGTTGAGAACCACTGGTCTAGACAAAAAAAAGCTTATTGCTATAATAAAACTTGGCATCCATTGGTGTTAGGTTCACCAGATATAACCGAAGTGTAGGATGTTTTGCTACTTCCGTTGAATACCTACTAGGACAGTGCTATTGAAAGTGGTGGTCTGTGGACCAATGCTGATCTGTAAGCAGTCTGTATCAAGTTTCCAGAAGGTAAACTAACAATAGGCACAAATTTGGAAAAAAAAATCCCAGGCACATTAGGAAAAATCCTTCCTGGTCCTCCAAATCAATTAAACGAAAACACTTTTGGCTAAAGGACTGAGAATAGAGAAATTATTCTGGTAAATACAGAATGTTTTTTCTCTCTAAACTCTTGTTATAATACAGCTCAAACTTTTCCTTAGACAGCAAAAAAACACCTACCCTATTAATTTCTGACAAAGTGTGCTCCTTTAAGAGGCATAGCTTTGCTGCTGATTACTTACCACACTGCCTTTTTTCCATAGGAATTAATCATAGGAAATGCCATTCACAAAAGGCAATATAAGCGAACTTGACAAAGGCACCTGAAATCTGGAGTCACTGAGCTGTTTGATCTTACTATGACTGAAGACAGCCTGTGCCATGTTGCAAAAGGATTCTGACGTTTTAATCTTTTAGCATAATACTACTAAGACAGTGATTTGGATATTGAATGTTTAATAAAAATCTTTTACTCCTTCGTGCTTTTTTCTTGGTGGTAATGGATAGGTATGTGCAACATCAACATTAAACTTCTAAAGCACCAATGGAAAATGTGTGGTGGTCCTCATATTGTCAAACTAGAGTTCCGATCATCTTTGGCAACACACTGGAGAGGAGTCATGGATGTACAGGAGTCACCTTTACATTTGTTTGCATTGTGGAGTTCTTCAAGTGCCCATCACATCAATGCAAAATGTCACAATAGATTTATTGCTACATCTTAGAATGGTGAGAAGATAAACATTTTTAAAAGTGTAGTAGCATAGCATAGGTTGAGTATTCCTTGTCTGAAATTTTTGAGACTACGGAGTGTTCCACACTTCGGATTTTCTTTTGGATTTTGGAATGCCTGTATTTGCTTATATAAACATAATGAGAAATCTTGAAACTGGGGGCTAAATCTAAACATGAAATTCATTTCTATTTCATATATACCTTACACATAAAGCCACATTTTATATACTAATTTAAAGAATTCCCAAATGAAACAAAATTTATTTAATGTATTGCCAAAGGCTTTCATGGACAGAATCACTGAGTTGCTGTGAGTTTCCCGAGCTGTATGGCCATGTCCCAGAAGCATTTTCTCCTGATGTTTCACCTGAATCTATGGCAGGCATCCTCAGAGGTTGTGAGGCAAAACGTCAGGAGAAAATGCTTCTGGAACATGGCCATACAGCCCAGAAAACTCACAGCAATCCAAAGTTTATGTCATGGAACAATCAGATAGGAAGGGTATCATTATCTCAGCCACCCATAAGGACCATTTCGGATTTTGTATCCCAGCATAAATACATAAGTCATTTGTTTTATCAGAGCTAAATGTTTTGTGAAGGATATGCAAATATTTCAATACTTATAGTAAGACAGGGACAATGCATATGGGGCCCTCCAGAAGATGTTGGGCTGTGACACACCTTAGTGCCCAGGGGCAGGTCTATTAAGAGAGGGTACATTTCTACCATCTTGTCCACCAAGGCAGGGAAGGGGACTCCCACTGGTCAGAGGGCAGTGTTCCTCCAAGTCCACTGCATCAATGGCCCTATTCTTAACACTCATTATATCCCTTACTGTTGGGTAAGGCTGACAGGAATTGCGATCGAATAATTTCTACAAAGCAGTGGTGTAGGATTGACTTGGAAGTCATTCACAATGACAACCTCCACTTTTGTAAACCTTTATTTATTTCCACATAAAAGACACCATCAAAATTTGAACGCTTAACTAGTGAACCACAGGTAAATTTAAACTGAAATGATGGGGAGTAACTTCACACTCTCGCGTAGACTCTGGTACAGGTAACGTCATTCATGGTACATTCCTAACAGATAAGGGGGAAAAAGGAAAAGTACAATGGTGTAGCCTTCAGTCCATTTCATAACAATGAATTGTGAGCTTATTTATTCTTGTGAGATTGTGCTTGTCAAATGATAAGGTGATATTTACCTAGTCTGTTTGGCTGTACAGTGGCATTCTTAACCATAAGATGTTGTTCTGATTGACAACTGGGATAACTTTAAAGGAGAATTACATAAATTCATAGAATAATCAATAGTAACTTACTACAACTGCTATATGTCATCTCCACTGTTGGAGACAGTTACAAAATGCCAGGAAACTGAGAAGGTTGCAATTGTACCCATGTGCTACGAGTAGATTTCCCATAGGTAATAGGCAGTCATTGAGTCAATAGAATATTGGATTATATAAGGTTTTCATCTGACCAAGCATAGTTTTTTTTTTCTAATACTGGCAGCTGAGTATTGATTAAAAAGTGAACTACTTTTCCCAGAAGAACACCTACTTTTCCCAGAAGAACATCCTGGTAGTGACTAATACACCTTATGCCTGGAGATGTGTTTCTATCATTGCAGAAGTTGATGATTTCTTCTACTGGAACACAGGGGACCAAGCAACATACAAGAGTGATCAACATGGAGAGAAAAGTTATCAAGGCCTTTTTTTCATGTTTCCAGCAGTTTTATTTGGTCTGAGACTATGGGGAAGAGTTAACTGAATACAAAACTAACTTTTGCACTTGGAATTTATTTTGCAGTGAGTGAAGTAAGCTAAGGACCATGGGAGAACATGTTAGGAGAAGAGAGAACATGGAACATTTTAAAAGCAGCTGAGTAAGTGAGATGGCCGAGGATTAACTGTGACTGTGCCTGCAAAATCAGGACAGTTGAAAGGATTGGAAAAAATGAAATGAAATGGACATTATTTAGCTCTTGCCTCCCCCATTACAGCTAGAATACACAAAGTCTACATTTCTCCCTCCTAACCTAGACTTGCAAGTGGAAAGGATATGCGTGAATGCGTGCACTTGCACACATACACCTAACTCTTTATCTTCATATCTACCATCTAGGTCAGGCATGTGCAAACTTTGGCCCTCCGTATGTTTTGGACTTCAACTCCCACCATTCCTAAAAGCCTTAAGCAGCTGAGGGGGAAAAGGAAGGGGCCTGAGGCTATTAGGAATGGTGGGAGTTGAAGTCCAAAACACCTGGAGGGCCAAAGTTTGCCCATGCCGGATTTAAATGCTTTTCATTCATTTTCTACTGCAAAAAATGAAGGATGAAGAGGAAGCATTGGTGAGCACCCTCTGGGTTCGTCCATTTAACCAATTACAGAACTACGGTGAGGTGGATCTGTAATTGGTTAAATGGACGAACCCAGAGGGTGCTCACCAATGCTTCCTCTTCATCCTGGAAAGAAGTGACGAGTGGAGTGCCGCAGCGTTCCGTCCAGGACCTGGTCCTGTTCAACATCTTTATTAATGACTTAGATGAAGAGATAGAAGGCATGATCATCAAGTTTGCAGACGACATCAAATTGGGAGGGATAGCCAATATTCCAGAGGACAGGAGCAGGATTCAAAACGATCTTGATAGATTAGAGAGATGGGCCAAAACTAACAAAATGAAATTCAACAGTGACAAATGTAAGATACTCCACTTAGGCAGAAAAAACGAAATGCAAAGATACAGAATGGGGGACAATGCCTGGCTCGAGAGCAGTACATGTGAAAAAGATCTTGGAGTCCTTGTGGACAACAAGTTAAACATGAGCCAACAATGTCATGTGGTGGCAAAAAAAGCCAATGGGATTTTGGCCTGCATCAATAGGAGCATAGTGTCTAGATCTAGGGAAGTAATGCTACTCCTCTATTCCGCTTTGGTGAGACCACACCTGGAATATTGTGTCCAATTCTGGGCACCACAATTGAAGAAAGATGTTGAAAAGTTGGAATGTGTCCAGAGGAGGGTAACTAGAATGATCAAGGGTCTGGAGAACAAGCCCTATGAGGAGGGGCTTAAGGAGCTGGGCATCTTTAGCCTGAAGAAGAGAAGGCTGAGAGGAGATATGATAGCCATGTATAAATATGTGAGAAGAAGTCACAGGGATGAGGGAGCAAGCTTGTTTTCTGCTTCCCTGGAGAATAGGGCACAGAACAATGGCTTCAAACTACAAAAAAGGAGATTCCATCTGAACATTAGGAAGAACTTCCTGACTGTGAGAGCCGTTCAGCAGTGGAACTCTCTGCCCCGGAGTGTGGTGGAGGCTCCTACTTTGGAGGTTTTTAAACAGAGGCTGGATGGCCATCTGTCAGGGGTGCTTTGAATGCAATATTCCTGCTTCTTGGCAGGGGGTTGGACTGGATGGCCCATGAGGTCTCTTCCAACTCTTTAATTCTATGAAAAGAAGCAGCATCTAACAAATGTTACACACACTATGGTTTTCCTCAAACAAGGCACACTGCCACAAACATTTAGGCAGTTATACATTAAAATGCTGAAACTTTCCATTTTTAGAAGATCACATGATAGGGAAAAAAATACCTGCTTGAGAACTTGGAGATGAGCTACCCATCGGACCACTAGTGAGTGTCTTGTGCCAGTTGGTGAATCCGCTCCAACTTTTAACCTGAATTTTAAAAAGACTGTCCAAGAAGCTAATCCTATTCTAGAGATAGAGCAATTCATCTTAGACTAAATCTAGACAAAAACCTGGAACAGATTCACCACTCCTCAGATACCCAAGCCACCATCTACCCACTACATGGCATTTCTTAGAGAAAGACCAGTTGTCCAACACAATATAAGAAAGTTTCGTAGATTCATTATCTTTCTGAGTATGTTTCATACACACACCAGCAGCGAAGCCATTTAAAATTATGCCCTTAATGCAGTGGTTCTCAACTTGTGGGTCCTGTTAGGATCTCTGGGCTTCAACTCTCAGAGATCCTAACAGCTGGCTGGGATTTCTGGGAGTTGTAGACCAAAACACATGGAGACCCACAGGTTGATAACCACTGTCTTAATGCAAGGATGGATAATTATAGAATAGGCCTCCTCCAGATATGTGTTGGACTTGGACTGTATTTCCCATTAGCAACCAACTTTCCTGGGTAAGCAAAGTCTGGGCAAGCAATAACTATCTGACCAAATTAGTTAATTCTCCAATATTCTGCGTCATTTATACACACACACACGTATAAGAGACATACAATTAGGTGTATTGTTGAAGGCTTTCATGGCCGGAATCACTGGGCTGCTGTGTGTTTTCCGGACTGTATGGCCATGTTCCAGAAGCATTCTCTCCTGACATTTCACCTGCATCTATGGCATGCATTCTCACAACCTCTGAGGATGCCTGCCATAGATGCAGGGGAAACATCAGGAGAGAATGCTTCTGCAGCATGGCCATACAGTCCGGAAAACACACAGCAACCCAGAGAATTAAGTGTTATAAATTATTGGTTACTGTTTTCCAGGATGAGCTAGGAGAAAGAAACTTACCACCACCATATTCCCACCAACTAATTTTCTTTTGATAATCGTACATTTGTCACCCCACTTCTGGACTTTAGTCAGAGTACTGCCCTCCATCGTTACTATGCTCTAAAAAGAAATAAGAGAAGACAAGGGTGATAAAAAAAAGAATGGAGTCAGTGTTAGGTCTTAAGGCTGTAACTCCCAGTGGCCTTATTGTTTGGGGAATGCTGAGAATTGTAGTCCAAAAAGTAATGCTCTGGGAGAACAATCTCTTTCCACCTTCTTGTGAGTAAATGAACTATCAGTGTCACTTCCTTCCTCTGTCCAAATATTTATTTAACTGGAATTCTGATTATCAGCAGACCCTGCTGTCAAGATATTCCACTTCCTAAGTTGTGAGAACAATTCCTAAAGGAGACAGTAAGTTTTACCTTGGCATGCCTGCAATCCATTGTTGTTTCTTCAAACTCCTGGCCCAGTCTGAAGGAGACCTCATTCACTTTAAAGACAGTTTCTGTTCTGATGGTGATGACATCTTTATCCTTGGAAATGACCACTGTCGGCTTGGCTAGGCTTCCCAGCTTCCTTTGGGAATAGCATACTCCTAAGGATGAGTCCAAATAGGCACACTGAATCAACTGGATTTACATATGCATTCACTGACCAGTTAATAGTTAATTTAATGCTGGGGTCCTCAAACTTTTTAAACAGAGGGCCAAGTCACAGTCTCTCAAACTGTTGGAGGGCCAGATTATAATTTGAAAAAACCATGAATGAATTCCTATGCACACTGCACATATCTTATTTGTAGTGCAAAAAAACACTTAAAAAACAAAACAATAATTAAAATGAAGAACAATTTTAACAAATATAAACGTATTAGTATTTCAATGGGAAGTGTGGGCCTGTTTTCGGCTAATGAGATAGGATTGTTGTTGTTATGTGCTTTCAAGTCGTTTCAGACTTAGGTTGATCCTGACCAAAGGCTGGGTAAATGACCTTGGAGGGCCGTATCTGGCCCTTGGGCCTTAGTTTGAGGACCCCTGATTCAATGTATCCATCCAGCCTTAGCTGCGTGCATGTTTATATGTAATCTCACAAGCAAACCTCAATAATGTGTGTTGGAGAATTAAGAGGAATTTAAATTAGGTCCTGTCAAACGACATTTAATCAACTACCAAGCTTGCAAACTTTGTGTTTTGTTTGTTTGTTAAAAATGCAATACAACTGATTGGCTTGCTCCTGACACGATAAATAAATAAATAAAATTAGGTCCTTTCCAAATACAGACTAATATAGCTCAAGGTCCTCCTGAGCTGGATAGGCTCTACTTCCAAATCAAACTTTATTTCCTGCAACAAAGAAATCCCAAAACGAAGAAGGGATATTGATTAGATACCTTAATGGCCATCATGTCTACACCTTAAAATAAAAACAACCCACCTTTTCCTTATTCTGCTATGAAACAGGCTTGCTTACCTAGTTCTTTCATATATTCGTCAAAGTTTTCACTAGAGATGAGTTTCCAGGTTCCCAAGAACAGCTCTGACATTATGGAAAGGTGATGGAAAGAGACCTTCGTGAGTAAAGCTGCATGAAAATAACATGGAGATAGTGTTCAGCAATGGAAAAAAACCCCTAAAACTCAAAGACATAGCCGTGGTAGTCTGGAATATCAATATGAAAAGAGATCTTGAAGCACTTTAGAGCACGCATGGGCAAACTTGGGCCCTCCAGGTGTTTTGGACTTCAACTCCCACAATTCCTAACAGCCTACTGGCTGTTAGGAATTGTAGGAGTTGAAGTCCAAAACACCTGGAGGACCCAAGTTTGCCCATGCATGCTTTAGAGACAAGCTGAGAGAACAAAGTTGGTAGCACAAGCTTTCAAGGTGGATCTACACTGTGGAATCAATGAATTTGACAGCACTTTAGTTACCGTGGCTCAATGCTATGGAATCATGGGAGTGTCGTTTTCCAAGGTCTTTAGTGCTCTCTTCCAGAGAGAGCTAGTGCTTTCTCAAACTACAACTCTCAGGATCCCATCGCATTGAGCCAGGGCAATTAAAGTGGTGCCAATCTGCTTTAATTCTACAGACAAGTGGGGTTTATATATCTGTGGAATGTCCAGGGTGGGAGAAAGAATGCTTGCCTGTTGGAGGCAAGTGTGAATGTTGCAATTAGCCATCTTGATTAGCATCTAATAGTCTCGCAGCTTCAAAGCCGGGCTGCTTCTTGCTTGGGGGATCCTTTGTTGGGAAATGTTAACTGGCCCTGTTTTGTTCCTGTCTGGAATTCCCCTGTTTTCTGAGTGTTGTTCTTTATTTACTGTCCTGATTTTACCGTATTTTAAAATTGGTACATTTAAAAAAAATGTCAGGAAAGAATGCTTCTGGAACATGGCCATACAGCCTGGAAAACTCATAGCAACCCATCAACTCTCTCTCTCTATATATATATACACACACACACACACACACCCTCTGTGCAGCGGGTTAAACCACTGAGCTGCTGAACCTGCTGACCAAAAGGTTAGCAGTTCAAATTCAGGGAGTAGGGTGAGCTCCCGCTGTTAGGCCCAGCTTCTGCCAATCTAGCAGTTCGAAAACATGCAAATGTGAGTAGATCAATAGGTACCACCATGGCAGTAAGGTAACAGCACTCCATGCAGTCATGCTGGCCACATGACCTTGGAGATGTCTACGGACAATGCCTGCTCTTTGGCTTAGAAATTGAGATGAGCATCACCCCCCAGAGTCAGACACAACTAGACTTAATGTCAGGGGAAACCTTTACCTTTACTTTATACATATACACATAATATACACATACTCTAGCTGGCTCTGGCTCAAATGTAGGTTATTGGAAAAGAATCTTTGGGGGATAACCAGATGTTTATGATTTTTGTATGGAAGAACATATAGTATTACTTCTGGTATCACACTCCTTTAATCTGAGTTTTTGATACATGGGAAGAGGCGGGTAAAAAATAAATGCATTATTGTTGTTGTTATGTCCATCTGCCCGAGACATTATTTTCCAGTTTTCCATTTTAACAAAAGAAAACAAAGAATCCATCTTAAATACTGCAATCCTCATATTTGCCCACCCTGCAATTAGGGCTTAAATACAAAAATAATCTTTTTTAAAAAATCAAAGTTCCTATCCATTTAACAGCTGCAGCACAGACAGTAATTCAACAGGTCAGGATTCCTCCAAAACTGTCTGCAATATAGCTCTGAACAGAGCAGTGGTCTATAGGGACATATTATTGTATATAAATAACATTTACAGCCCCTAGGCCAAAGGCACAGCTTTTAAAGAAATGCAGATAAACAGATGGGAACTAAAAGGAAACACATTAGTGTCATTAAGTTTTCCATCAGGTCCTAGAAAATGTTGACATTCCTGCAAAGATTACCCTAAAAATATCACCATTTAAGACTTACTTTTGGGCCTTGATTCCTTGGCACTGAAGTCTTTGCTGTCAAAATGGTGGCAGGAGCACATGTTTCCTGGTCTGTGGAATTGGAGAGGGAAAAAAATGCAAAATACATCTGCAGTGAACCCATTGGATCACTGAATCAACACTTAACTTCATTGGATCAATGGTTTGTACTCTAATTGGTAGCTAACCACCGATCTTGAACTATTTTATAAATCCACAGAGTATTAGCAGAATGTTTTTAAGTAAAAGCAAAATTGAGAAAAGAGAATGCATAAAAAAGTATAGACTTACGGCAAAAGAGACAAAACTTCAATTCTTGCTTATACTGTACTAAAGCTATCAAATATTAGAAGAATTAGGGAAGGCAAATTCTTGCAGTACAGGATTTATGGGCATTTTCTTTCCACACATTGCTTGCCTTTCAATGTCATGAATATCAATCAAATTAACATTTTTAAAAGAATGATTTGTTTCTAGCAGAGCAAAATGCAAGCTAAAATAGAATTGCAAAGAAGCAAAAATTATCACTTTACTCCCTATTTTTGAGTTTTCATTCAGCTTACCGTATATTCCGGCATATAAGACGATTGGGCATATAAGACGACCCCAACTTTTCCAGTTAAAATATAGCGTTTGGTATATACTTGCCGTATAAGACTACCCCTCTTCCAACACACACCAAATAAAAAAWTTAAAAGTATCAGATTTGATTTCAATATGGTAATTTTCCTATTACRGTACCTCCTTCTCTGCCTCTCAGATCTCGTACCTGCGCACCTGCACCACTTCACTGCAGACTTCAGGAGCAAGATCTGAGAGGCAGAGGAGGAGGTATGGTAACAGGATACKAGAGTGGGCCAGACAGGTAAAAGAGGTGTGTTTGTCTGGGCCCAGAGCCACTCTATCTCTTTTTTCCATACCCCGGGTGCCCCGGATGCCTGCAGCTTGCTCCGCCCTTCACTTACACCTTCTTGGTGAGGCACCCCTTCATGACAAGGTGGGGTGTTTGGAGGGGGATGGGCATGCAGATATCCTGGATCTCTGATAAAGTGCGTTGGGACATAATGCTAAGAGTTTCCTTATTCTGGAAAGACACACTGGAACAACCATGTTTTCAAGCTCCTCCTAAAGATTGCTAGTGACGGGGCCTGCCTGATGTCCTTAGGGAGAGAYTTCCTGAGTCGAGGGGCCATAACCGAGAAGGTCCCTTAGGAAGGGAAGTCACATCTTGACAGCAATTTATCACAGTAATGTCTGCATTTCATGTTTGATGAAATCTCCTTTGCCACTGGTTGGATGTGTAGGATGAAAAATACAGTGGGGCAGGGTTGATGCAAACCATACTGGATGACATCAACAGGGGGGGYYYAAATAACACTGAAATTATTTATAATTTTTTTTGCAATGTTTCAACTGAAAATTATGATATTTTTTTTTWWAAAAAAATCCTAGATAAAATCACAAAAATATTTTCAAGCCTTGCTAACATGTACTGCAGGGCCACGGTGGCACAGCAGGTTAAACCGCTAAGCTACAAAACTTGCTGACCAGAAGGTCGGCGGTCCGAATCTGCAGAATGGGGTGAGCCCCCATTGTTAGCTCCAGCTTCTGCCAAATTAGTAGTTCGAAAACATGCAAATGTGAGTAAATCAATAGGTACTGCTTTGGGCGTGAAGGAGATGGTGCTCCATGCAGTCATGCCGGCCACATGACCTAAGAGGTGTCTATGGACAACACCTACTCTTTGGCTTAGAAATAGAGATAAGCACCACCCACCAGAGTTGGTCCCAACTAAACTAAATGTCGAGAGGAAACCTTTTAACATGTATTGCATCAATATATCTACAAAGCTAATGCTCTATGCTACTTTTAAAAATTCTAATGCACATGTGCATTACTCAGTGCTATCAGTATTACCCAATTGCAACGACACTTCAATCACAAGGTTTTGTCTGTAGGCAGGACAAACACGTGTTGTTTTTGTTGCTGCTGGCATTTAAAAAATATTTGCTGAGTTTGCCAAATTTTATGCTCTTTTGATAGTGTGATACAGTCTGATATAGGAGAAGTTCCATGGAGGTGATTCCCTGAATTACTACACTGGGCGACATCTATTCCAGTCACACCAGCAAATAAAGAAAAATAAATAAATAACCTAAAGTGTTTTGGTCTTCTATGTTGGCTGGTTCTGTGTATTTCTACTAAAAGGATGGCCCTGAAGGTCATAATAATATTAAAGTGCACTCCACTTTGTTTTTCATTGAAACCTCTTGTCAACACAATGGTGGCTTGACATTTAATTTAGAAAACATGGCACTGCTGTGCATTCACCAAATTTCTGAAAAGGAAGCTAAAACAATGTTGCTTTCCCCCCTCTAATTACTTGTGATTAGAAAGAAATACATCCCAGTAAAAGCAATCTTAATCTGAAATCCTCCTTGCCAGGAAAACGGAGATTGTGAGCTCAGCACTTCTAATCTAAACAAAAACTATTGTGTTTACCTCTCCCAAACATTTCTACTGTGTTATCTGTTTGCTGCCGAACCCAGGAATAAAGAGGCCAGACTCAAGTATTGTAGAAAATAAGGACAATTTTATTATTAACTATTTAATTAATGTTGTTTCTTGGGTCTGAACAAACTGAAAATGGAGGAGTAGTATGGTGTTTTTACATTTTCTGTCCACTTCTGCAGTTTTATCCATTTGTCCAAGGCCAAAGTGGCTGTGGTGGCGCAACAAAGGGGCTAGGTGGCACAACGGATTACACTGTTGAGCTGCTGAACTTGCTGACTGGAAGGCTGACAATTCGAATCCATGGGACAGGGTGAGCTCCCACCGTTAGCCCCAGCTCCTGCCGACCTAGCAGTTTGAAAACATGCAAATGTGAGTAGATCAATAAGTACCATGCAGTCATGCCAGCCACATGACCTAGGGCAACGCAGGCTCTTCGGCTTAGAAATGGATATGAGCACCACCTCCAGAGCTTGAGATGGAAGGGAAGGAAGCCTTTACCTTTATCTGTGTGTCATTGTTTCCAGACATTGAATGTTTGTCTGTGTCTGTATATGCTGGAATCCACTCTGAGTCCCCTTGGGGAAATAGGGCAGAATACAAATCAAGTGTAATTATTATATAAT